AGAAATCCGTCAAGAAGGCGCAAAATGGGACCCCTTTCTTTGCCCGTTGACCTCCGATAATGGACGAGGAAAAAGTGGATTGAAGGTGTGCATTGGTAAGATAGATCGAATCAGGGAGACCCACCCCGGTGGGCGGGGCGTTCTCCAAAAAAGCAGTGCTTTATGAAAAATTTCATAACTCGGTTGGGAGAAAGCCTACAGAGCAGAAAACAAATGGTGTAGGGAGCAATGTCTAAGGTGTTCTCAGCATAACGTCATTTTTGTGAGTCCTGTGGATGGGGACAGTAGTGGGTGGAAATATGAAATTTTGGTGTTAACCGTGAAGACTATGCTTTGTGCTGACGACATCGTCTTGGCAGCTGATAGTAGAGAGGAACTTCAATGGCAGAAAGTCCTGACAGAAGGTGGGCTACGGCTGAATGTCAAGAAGACCAAGTTCCTGAGCTCCGAAGAGGGTGCAGAGCCGATCGTGGACGGCCATGGTGAGACCATCGAAAGAGTGGAGGACTTCCGCTACCTTGGGAGCGATCTGGCAGCCGACGGTAGTGTGGATCAGGCAGTGAAGGCTCGGGTCAACGCTGCATGGATGAAATGGAGGGAGTCCACTGGAATCCTCTGCGATCGAAGGTGCTCCAGAACGCTCAAAGGGAAGGTGTACCGGACAGTAGTAAGGCCTGCGATGCTATACGGCAGCGAGTGGTGCGGTATAGCATCGCAGGCCGCCCACAATAGGTAGAGCGTGCTCCTGAAGCAGGGTGAATATCGGTCGAGGAAATCCTCGACAGGGGGGTCGTACCTGTTGGGCTGGTCCATGGGGGGTCGTACTCTTGGGGTCAGTAACAGAAGTGGTATCATGGTGCAGATAGGTAATAGGGTATAGCGCAGCAGAAAATGAAAACATCCGAAAAAAACATGATATTAAATTTTCTTTGCAGGTTCAGTCGCTCCATTCCTCCACCTTCATGAGAAGGGCGTATTTGAAGGCAGTACAAAGAATGAAAGTGCATCCCCGCAAAGAAGAGTGCCACATGTGCGCACGCGCTGCAAAGGCACCTCCTCCGCCTATCACTCGCTCCTTCTCCCTTAATACCTCGCTGAGAATGACGCTGTTGTTAGGGACCCTGTCGGAAAAACGACAACCGTGAAGAAAAAGCGCTGGGCAAATGAAGTTGTTTTTTAGGTTACAGGAATAGCACAACACACTATGTCTACTACAATACAGTTTCGTTCGAAGGTCCCCATCATATAACACCTTTCAATCGATTCTGCAACTGTGAGTGGAGGAGGGATGCATGGCTTATACCAATACCAAATCGGATGATGACGATTGCTCCTATTCTTATTGTTTGCGTTCAAAGATATTGTTCTAGACACATTCCGAGTGTTGCCAACGAGTCACACTTGCAATGGTGAATGAGGGAGCGGATTTCCAGGTGGCCGGATCCGTCCTCGATAGATCCTCGACGCAATTATCTCTTCAACCAAAAAGCTGTAGAAGAAAACTAAACAGACCATCAGGAAGCGCAAACCTTCCGCTTTCCAAAACTATCTTCCCTTTTTCAGGATCTTACAATATCCTACTATATATAATCGGCTAAGCGGTTGTGTGTGTGTGTCTGTGTGTGTGTATGTGTTTGTCTGTCTGACCGGAAATTCATAGCTCGGGCACCAGTGGTCGTCAGGAGTTGGTTTCAAGATATGATATAGGGGGTGGGACGGGAACATATTTGGTGGGGTACAGAAAGTGATAACAACTGATAAGGGCTGATAAAAGGCGCTAGAACGCAAGTGTCGCGAAATTCATAGCTCGGGCACCAGTGGTCGTCAGGAGTTGGTTTCAAGATATGATATAGGGGGTGGGACGGGAACATATTTGTGGGGGTCACAAAGTGATAACGACTGATAAGAGGGCTGATAAAAGGCGCTAGAACGCAAGTGTCGCGAAATTCATAGCTCGGGCACCAGTGGTCGTCAGGAGTTGGTTTCAAGATATGATATAGGGGGTGGGACGGGAACATATTTGGTGGGGTAAAGAAAGTGATAACAACTGATAAGGGCTGATAAAAGGCGCTAGAACGCAAGTGTCGCGAAATTCATAGCTCGGGCACCAGTGGTCGTCAGGAGTTGGTTTCAAGATATGATATAGGGGGTGGGACGGGAACATATTTGGTGGGGTCAGAAAGTGATAACAACTGATAAGGGCTGATAAAAGGCGCTAGAACGCAAGTGTCGCGAAATTCATAGCTCGGGCACCAGTGGTCGTCAGGAGTTGGTTTCAAGATATGATATAGGGGGTGGGACGGGAACATATTTGGTGGGGTACAGAAAGTGATAACAACTGATAAGGGCTGATAAAAGGCGCTAGAACGCAAGTGTCGCGAAATTCATAGCTCGGGCACCAGTGGTCGTCAGGAGTTGGTTTCAAGATATGATATAGGGGGTGGGACGGGAACATATTTGGTGGGGTACAGAAAGTGATAACAACTGATAAGGGCTGATAAAAGGCGCTAGAACGCAAGTGTCGCGAAATTCATAGCTCGGGCACCAGTGGTCGTCAGGAGTTGGTTTCAAGATATGATATAGGGGGTGGGACGGGAACATATTTGGTGGGGTCAGAAAGTGATAACAACTGATAAGGGCTGATAAAAGGCGCTAGAACGCAAGTGTCGCGAAATTCATAGCTCGGGCACCAGTGGTCGTCAGGAGTTGGTTTCAAGATATGATATAGGGGGTGGGACGGGAACATATTTGGTGGGGTAGAAAGTGATAACAACTGATAAGGGCTGATAAAAGGCGCTAGAACGCAAGTGTCGCGAAATTCATAGCTCGGGCACCAGTGGTCGTCAGGAGTTGGTTTCAAGATATGATATAGGGGGTGGGACGGGAACATATTTGGTGGGGTAAAGAAAGTGATAACAACTGATAAGGGCTGATAAAAGGCGCTAGAACGCAAGTGTCGCGAAATTCATAGCTCGGGCACCAGTGGTCGTCAGGAGTTGGTTTCAAGATATGATATAGGGGGTGGGACGGGAACATATTTGGTGGGGTCAAAAAGTGATAACGACAGATGAGGACTGATAATTACGATATGCGTACGAACGTAGAGATTACTCGAAACCAGATTGCAGATAATGCATTTCATTTCAATATCATTTCATTAGCGTTATAATTGTAAATTCAAACACCTTTCAACCGCTACACCTTCTAGAGTTCTTGAGGATGAATGGGATGCTAATAAATTTGATAGTGAATACTGGGCATTCCGTCTTGAGATTACCAAAAATTATTCGACCGCTAAATTTCCTCGATTCTCGATGCATGGTGGTTGTTTACATACATCACTTTAGCTGTGTGCGCTTATCAAACAGTGAGATACAGCCAAGATGGGCAACGGACAGTAATGCATTTAACGAAGCATTGCGTGCGCACGAGCAAATGTGACTGAAATGTCGCGCGTTTCATATTGAGAGCACCAATTTCTTGATGAACAAAATTATATCCCATGAGTGCTTTGGTTCAGCCGACACTACCGCTAATTTGTTTGAAAGCTATGTGAATGAGTCAAGCCCATAACCGGCAGAGGCAACGAAATGTTGAGAAAAGATAGCTAGACGAGCGCTGGCAAACAATAAATGGACAACGAAAGCCGTATCATTCGATGAAGGATAAATTAGTTTTACGCGAAGCATTTCTCATTCTTTCCTGTTACGTTCACAAGAAACGTTGGGTGAGTATGCTGCAAAGTAATGGTATTTTGCCAATTATCTCATTGACGACCATCGTTGTACGTGTATCGCGGCATCTTTGTAACATTCATCATTACTCATTCTACTCAAGCTCAATTATTGGCGATGAATATACAGCTTAGAATTTAATTGTGTATGCGAATAGCTTTGTGGTATGAAAACGTCAAATAAATCAGGAAATACGTCCCTGCTTCGCGCATAAGCGTGGCTCGCCGACGGGAAAAGCGGTCGTTGATGGGGTAATTACACTCTATATATATGCAGGCGGGGGACTAAAAAAAGACTTTTTACTCATGCCGCACTTCGACCTTTTTTCTTCGCAGATGTTGCCGTCGTTGACGGAAGTTCCTCAGCAAAGTATTCCCTAAATGTCCCTCTATGACGCAGGCCCTCCTTCACTGCCCTCACCGTCTTCAGAATATGACGTCATCTGTCACCGTCGTCAAGCTCAAGGAGGCCTACCGTAACTGCTTCAGCCTGAAGCTCTTACATAATTTCGTGAATCGATTTAATGTTGGATAGTTTTCTAGAGGCATTAGCTCCCACTATGCAAATCCCCTCGGAACTAGCTTTCCAGTAAAGGTCGTTATGGTACACGATCCTTCGAAGACCCCATTGAGCTCGACCAGTGCACCATGTTTCCAGGGCAAATTCTTCTGATGCCGTCCACGTAGGTGGCCACCACGTAGGTGGCCACTATGAAGATTTTCTTATAGAATGGAATGTGCTCTTCAATAATAAGTTGGGACCATTCGGTTTGAATTGAGCAAAGTGTGCTTAAATCCATCTGAAGTGGAGACAAAATGTCTTTTTTTATTGCCCCCCTGTATATCTCGAAGTTTGATTAGGCGTGTCATTGGCTCTGACGTACGGCCGCCGTACTTGATAGGAGTAGAAGCCTTCATAGTTAGCTATCGTACATGCGATTAGGAGATGATTTGAAAAGAAGAAGACGTGCCGATTAGGCGAGTAGGCGAGTAGGCGAGTAGGCAAGAGAAGGATACGTATTGATTTGTTGCTCCGCCCATTGAGCGATCGCCTAATCGCCTAATCGCCTACTCGCCGTACAACGTTCTATGGGCGGAGCAAACCAATCAATACGTATGTAGTCTTCCCGCCTGAATGCCTGCTCAACGATTCGTCTAATCGCCTAATTGCACGTACGAGCCCTTGGTTTCTGAGAGCACTCAATCAGATTTGAAGAGCTTCTTGGAAAGATGTTTCCCGATTGTTGCAGCATCACTATTGTAAGCGATGGAAGGAAGAAGAACTAGGGGAAGACCCAGGATATACCTTGATGAAAGTGAACGCCTGCAAATCAGGCGACAAAGAGAAACACCAGACGAAAGAGCTGCTCGGCTCGAAATAGATTCCATACGCCATCGTCAAAGACGACATAATGAAGATTCAGAGGCAAGAAATATCAGATTGCACGGGGATGCCGAGCGTCATCAAAACAGACGCCAAGTTGAAACAGCTGAAGAAAGAGCTTCTCGATTGCAAGAGGAGGCTGACAGACAGCGACAAAGACGAGCTATGGAAGATGATATTCAGCGCGCTGCTAGACTGGAAGGAAATGCTGTACGCGAGCGAGGAAGGCGTGAGTTACAGAGCGTCGAGGAGCAAGCCGCTAGGTTGGAGGGAAATACCCAAAGTCAGAGGAGAAGGCGTGCACTGGAGAATGCCGAAGAGCGAGCTTCAAGGTTGGAGGAAAACACCAGAAGACAGAGGACAAGGCGTGCACAAGAGAATGTCGAAGAGCGAGCGGCACGGTTGGAGGAAAACACCCAACGGCAGAGGAGAAGACGTTATCTAGAAAGTGCGGAGGAGCGAAATGCTAGGTTAGAGGAAGATGCCCAACGGCATAGAAGAAGCCGTGAATCGGAAAGTATTGAGGAGCGTGCTGCTCGGCAGGAGAGAAATACTCAACGACAAAGGAGAAGGCGTGAGCAGGAGAATGTCGAGGAGCGAGCGGCACGGGTGGACGGCAACGCTCAACGGCAACGAAGGAGACGTGAAGAAATAGCTGCCGCTGGGCGACACCAGCGCCGTCGTGTGCCTGATGGAGAGCCTGATCAATCAAATGTCCCAGTTAACCGTCGACGTCGAAATGGACTTGGAGAATTCACTGGAGTTGCTTTGCAAACACGTGTGGCCCAAACGAATTATCTGGGAGAGCTAAATCAACGCTGTGTAGATTGTGGAGCACTGCATTTTGCTAGCGAGGTCAAATTTAAGTCATCCAGGAAAGTTTCAAAGAGTGCTGCCATCTTGGGAAATTCACCTTGAATTTCTTCGAAAACTTTCCTGAAGAGTTGCGAAGACTTTATGTACGTGCACCTGAGTCCACGGCCGAACAGCGACACAATTCAGAAAAATTTCTTAGAGAACATAAGAATTTCAACTCGGCCTTAGCGATGGCATCAATGGGCGCACAGGTTGATTCGCTGCCAAGGACGAGGGCCCTACTGTTACCGAATTCATGGGCAAATTTATCACAGACTAGGACCTCTCCATCCAGAGATGGAGAACCACGTCAATATGGGCAAATATATATATTGGACACGGAATTAGCCGCTCAGCAGCGTCTCGGAAATGCAAGGAACAATGATTGCAGCCCACAGCTGATGCGATTTCTCAGTGATCTGTTGTCGAATGTGAACGCATACGCTCAGTCATTCAAAATGATGAGCGAAGTGGAACAGGCGGAAATCGCCTTGGCAGCTCAAGAGAACCGAACCCCCGCTAGAATTCGCATGGTCTTTGAAGAGAGTACAGAAAGAGGGTTAGTTCGTCGACAATACGACCTTCCCACAGCGAACGAAGTTGCTGTGATTTACGTTGGTGAAAACAACGACGTTCCTGCAAACAGAAGCCTTGCGGTCCATCTACGTAGCGGAACAGGCGAACAGCTCATGAATATCCGTGACATTCGATAAGATCTGTGACCCGCTAACGTATCCGCTCCTTTTCCCAACTGGAGAAGGTGGGTGGGACCCTAATCTGAGAAACACGGCAGGATTACGCATTACACAGAAAGACTACTACGCTTACTTATTTTCTATTCGCGACACCTTCAAGTCCGATTCTTCGTGCGGGAAAGCTTTGCCAACAATTTGCAGTCGACGCATACGTGAAAATCGAACAGAACCGTCTTAATTTTCACCGAAGAAATCAGCTTACACTCCGTCGTGATACCTACAGAGAGCTGCAGGACTATCTGGCTGGAGATGATATTTCTGGACCACCTGGGAACCGCGTCGTGTTGTCTTCGTCACATCTTGGTAGCCCACGTGCAATGCAGCAAGCATATCAAGATGCCATGGCGATTGTGGCTCGGTACGGAAAGCCAACGTACTTTTTGACGATAACGTGTAACCCACAGTGGAAGGAATTACAAGAAAATCTCTTCTATGGTCAGTCTTCGTCTGATCGCCCCGACTTAGTCGCACGTGTGTTCAACGCAAAGCTACAGGAAGCTTTGTAACGATCTGCTCAAGAGGCATGTTCTGGGAGAAGTGGAAGGCATACGTGTACGTGATTGAGTTTCAGAAACGTGGTTTGCCGCACTGTCACATGCTGCTCATTATGAAAGAGCCTTGGAAAGCACGTACAGCAGAAGACGTTGATAAATGCATTTGTGCTGAAATCCCAGATAGAGAACTTGAACCTGAGCTTCATGCTGCTATAACTTCATATATGATCCATCGAAAATGTGGACCTATGGATCCCAGCTCTCCGTGCATGAAGAGCGGTTCATGCTCCAAGAAATTCCCGAAACCAACTTCGCGATAGAACGTCACTTGATGTTGACGGCTATCCCTACTATCGTCGCCGAAATCTTTTCCCCACCGAGATAAATGGCATTCATTACAGTGACGAGTGGGTGGTGCCAACTAACCCGTACCTCATCCTAAAATACGATTGTCATATTAATCTCGAAATGTGTGGCACAATTTCAGCCGTGAAATACCTCTATAAATACATATACAAGGGACCTGACCGCGCCCGTATTAGCATTGAAGGTGAAGGAAATATTGACGCCAACCACAATATTGATGAGATCAGGCAGCATTTAGATACGCGGTACGTGTGTGCTCCGCAGAGCATCTATCGAATTTTCGGGTATACAATGCAGGACAAGTCACACACCGTTTGCCGATTGGCTGTACATCTGCCCGATTTTCAAACTGTTCACTTTGTCCAAGGCCAAGAGCAACAATATTTGGAGCGAGCTCAACAATCTTTCACGACGCTCACTGCGTTTTTTGAGTTGAATAGACGGTGTAATGAGCTGGATGAAGGCGAATTGCTTGCTGATTTTCCAAATCGATGCTCGGAATATCTATTACTATCAATTTCCAGAGTATTTCATATTTGATGCTCGAAGAGGATGGACTCCGAGGCGACGAGAAGGGAAGCAAAATATCGGAAGAATGTTTACAGTATCGCCTCTTGATAGGGAGCGATACTGCTTACGAGTGCTCCTTCTAAACACCAAAGGGAAAACGTCTTTCGAAGATATGCGAACAGTCGACGGTACAATCTACGAGTCGTTTGCAGAAGCAGCGAAAGCTGCCGGATTTCTGGACGATGACAGGTACTTTCGACAAGAGCCTTGCAGGAAGCGGCTCATTACCAGTCCGCCCCAGCAATGAGAAGTTTTTTCGCCTGCCTCCTGTGCTTTTGCGAAGTAATGCAGGCACAAGAGCTATGGGAGGAGTTCGTTGATACGATGCTGGACGACTACACCAACCGGGGAGTCGATCGAGAGCACGCTATCGCGTTTGCCTACTTTGATGTTCTCGATAGAGTAGCTACGATGGGCAGAGACTTACGGCAAATTATTACACCTCCCACCGCGGAACGCCCAGCTGTACCGACAGTGCCGATGGATTATGCAAGTTATGAGAGTGCCGGGTTGCGTCAGTACGAAGACCCTCAACGTTAAACAAAAGGAAGCAGCGGACGAAATCCTTCGATGCGCTCGACAGATCTCAGAACAAATGCATTTTCGTTGACGGTCCAGGCGGAAGCGGCAAGACATACTTATACAGCACGGTGTATAACATAGCTGTTGGAAGGAGGCGTCGGGTACTGTGCGTAGCCTGGACCGGTATAGCTGCCAACTTGCTTCCGGGAGGACGAACTGCAAATTCCGTCTTCAAGCTGAACATTGCCGATGGAAATCGAACTTCTTCAATGAGACGACAGCAAAAAGAAGCTAAGCACCTTATGGAGACCGACATCATCATTTGGGATGAAATTTCAATGGCACCTCGAACTGCTCTCGAGGCAGTCGATGTTCTCCTTAGAGACCTTATGCAGGTGGACACTCCTTTTGGTGGGAAAGTGTTTGTTATCGGCGGTGATTTTCGACAGATTCTGCCAGTAGTTGAACACGGTCAACGGGAAGATATTGTTGATGCATGCGTTTTGAAGTCTTTACTCTGGCCATTGTTTCGTGTTCACCGACTGGAGGTGAACATGAGAGCACGTGAATCTGGCAGTGATTGGCGTGATCGACTCCTTGAAATTGGCAATGGACAATCTAACGATGAAGAGGGTCGCACAACGATTTCTGAAGAAATGATGTGCACGACAGATATCGTTACCGAAGTTTTTGGAGAGGTACTCGATCCATCTGCCACTTCAGCCCTCTGCGAAAACGCTATACTTGCGCCAAAAAATGTTCACGTCCAGCGTTTGAACGACGAGGCTCTGCAGCGCATGAGTGTTGATAGATCCGAAGACGAGCGCATTTACAAAAGCATAGACGAGGCGCTTTATCCTGAAGGGGAGTCACGACAGCTATTCCAGATGGAATACTTGCATTCCCTCACTCCCACAGGAATGCCACCTCATGAGCTGCATCTGAAAAAGGGGGCTATTGTGATGTTGTTAAGGAATCTGGATGTGGCCAATGGTCTGTGTAATGGGACGCGCCTCAAGGTAGAAACACTCGGACGTCGGACATTAGCTTGCAGATTCGTTTGTGGGGAAAGGAGAGATCAGCTGGCTATCATCCCAAGAATAGACAACTACTGGGATCAGAGAACACCTTTCCGACTTCGTCGTCGCCAGTTTCCTGTGCGCGTAGCCTTTGCTATGACGATCAATAAAGCCCAAGGACAATCATTTAACAAAGTTGGTGTATTTCTCCCAGAAGACGTCTTCTCCCACGGACAGCTCTATGTTGCGCTCTCCCGCGCAAGAACTCCTAATGGCATAAGGGTGAAATCTGCCTCTGACAGACTGAGGAATATAGTGTTTGACGAAGTTCTGTTTTGAAGTTTCCAACGAACTTCATTTTCCAACTTTTCACTTAACAACTATGCACTGTTATAATACTGTAATTCACTGGCCGTCGTTCCAGCGTTGTCGAGTGGGAAACTATGGCTGTTTGAGTTGCACAGTTTCCAGTTCAAGAAGTAAATGAAAACAAGAGTGTTACTTGCAGCACTGCTGCGATTTCGTTGGAGGATCGCAACATCTGAACGAAAATAACATATTTTCCCGATCCAGCACCAAGTTTATGCAGATTTATATTCATGATGTGCGTAACGATAAATTTTGAGTCAAGAGACGCGTAGACTCGATAAAGTTTGTCAGTACTATGCATACGAAATGCTCAATACTAATATTAAATGTGCTTGCGCTGTAAAAAGTAATGGATGGAGGGTAGATATGGGGGATTGAAGGTGCTGGCATAAGGTGGCATAGGGCGGCAAGAAATGATAATGAGTGATAACAACCTCAGCAAAAGTAAGGACAATTTGTTCTACAACAAGCTGACTAGACTAGCTGTTCAGAAATGGACATGTT